CCTATATGGCACTTACTGGGCTTTAGGGTCAGTCCAGCCTCCCTAATCCGGTCTAGTACAGCTCCTATGTGGGTCAGGTGTTAGGGCCAGGAGCAGCTAAAAATGGCTATATCATCCAAGTAGGCGCAGGCATACTCCTGAAACCCATCCAGTAGCCGATCTACCATCCTCTGAAAGTTAGCCAGGGCATTCTTCATCCCGAATGGCATGACCTTAAACTGATACAGGCCAAACAAGGTGACAAATGCCAACTTGTTGATCGCGTCCTCGGCTAATGGAATCTGCCAGTACCCCTTGCACAGATCTATTGTGGTGAGGTACTGGCCTCTGGCGATTTTGTCTAGGAGCTCGTCTATCCGGGGCATAGGGTAGGAGTCTGAGGTTGTTTTATCGTTTAGCCTCCGGTAGTCTACACAGAAACGGGTCGTGCCGTCCCGTTTCGGTACTAGTACTACCGGGAAGGCGCAGGGGCTGTCAGAGTGTTCTATCACCCCTAACTGCATCATTTCCTCAATTTCTTTCCAAATATTTTCTTTAACTGCTTCGGGTATGCGATAGGCGTTTTGGTGAGGGGGGTCTGGTCTAGGGTTTCAACTTTGTGAGTGGTTAACGGACTGTACCCAGGTAGGTTGGAAAATGTGGCCCCCTTGTCCTGGATTAGTCTTTGGACCTGGGTTTGCTCCTGGGGGTCTAACCGTTCTCCTAACTGTACTTCTCCCAGGTCTCCGCTCTGGCCCTCTAGGTCTAGGAGATCTGGGAGTGGCAAATTATCATAATCTTCAGTGGCAGGTGCACAGATCGCGGTTACCTCTTCCGTGCGCCCGTGGTATGGCTTGAGCATATTCACATGGAGCATGCGCTTGCCTCCCGTACCTGTGACCGCACTGATCACAAAGGTGGTATCACAAACCTGCTCTACCACCTTGTATGGGCCCTGCCAGGAAGCCTGCAGCTTGTCCTTATGGACAGTGTCAATCCATATCTGCCAAGTGACCCTATGTAGGGGGAACAGTCTCTATTCTGCTCTGTGTCAGTGTGTATCATGGTCTCTGAGGACAGGTGTCAATCCATATCTGCCAAGTGACCCTATGTAGGGGGAACAGTCTCTATTCTGCTCTGTCAGTGTGTATCATGATCTCTGAGGACAGGTGTCAATCCATATCTGCCAAGTGACCCTATGTAGGAGGAACAGTCTCTATTCTGCTCTGTGTCGGTGTGTATCAGGGGCTCTGAGGACAGGTGTCAATCCATATCTGCCAAGTGACCCTATGTAGGGGGAACATTCTCTATTCTGCTCTGTGTCAGTGTGTATCATGGTCTCTGAGGACAGGTGTCAATCCATATCTGCCAAGTGACCCTATGTAGGAGAACAGTCTCTATTCTGCTCTGTGTCAGTGTGTATCATGGTCTCTGAGGACGGGTGTCAATCCATATCTGCCAAGTGACCCTATGTAGGAGGAACAGTCTCTATTCTGCTCTGTGTCAGTGTGTATCAGGGGCTCTGAGGACAGGTGTCAATCCATATCCTTCCGTGCGCTCGTGGTATGGCTTGAGCATGTTCACATGGAGCATGCGCTTGCCTCCCGTGCCTGTGACTGCACCGATCACAAAGGTGGTATCACAAACCTGCTCTACCACCTTGTATTGGCCCTGCCAGGAAGCCTGCAGCTTGTCCTTGTGGACAGTGTCAATCCATATCTGCCTAGTGACCCTATGTAGGCGGAACAGTCTCTATTCTGCTCTGTGTCAGTGTGTATCAGGGGCTCTGAGGACAGGTGTCAATCCATATCTGCCAAGTGACCCTATGTAGGAGGAATAGTCTCTATTCTGCTCTGTGTCAGTGTGTATCTTGGTCTCTGAGGACAGGTGTCAATCCATATCTGCCAAGTGACCCTATGTAGGAGGAACAGTCTCTATTCTGCTCTGTGTCGGTGTGTATCATGTTCTCTGAGGACAGGTGTCAATCCATATCTGCCAAGTGACCCTATGTAGGAGGAACAGTCTCTATTCTGCTCTGTGTCAGTGTGTATCAGGGGCTCTGAGGACAGGTGTCAATCCATATCCTTCCGTGCGCTCGTGGTATGGCTTGAGCATGTTCACATGGAGCATGCACTTGCCTCCCGTGCCTGTGACCGCACCGATCACAAAGGCGGTATCACAAACCTGCTCTACCACCTTGTATGGGCCCTGCCAGGAAGCCTGCAGCTTGTCCTTGTGGACAGTGTCAATACATATCTGCCTAGTATTGGCCCTATGTAGGTAGGAACCAGTCTATTCTGCTCTGTGTCAGGAGGGTGTGTATCAGGGGCTCTGAGGACAGGTGTCAATCCCATATCTAAGAGTGACCCTATGTGGGAGGAATAGTCTCTATTCTGCTCTGTGTCAGTGTGTATCTTGGTCTCTGAGGGACAGGTGTCAATCCATATCTGCCAAGTGACCCTATGTCACGAGAACAGTCTCTATTCTGCTCTGTGTCAGTGTGTATCAGGGGCTCTGAGGACAGGTGTCAATCCATATCTGCCAAGAGTGACCCTATGTAGTGCGTTTCAGTCCCTCTGTTCTGCTCTGTGTCAGTGTGTATCTCATGGTCTCTGAGACGGGTGTCAATCCATATCTGCCAAGTGACCCTATGTAGGGGAACAGTCTCTATTCTGCTCTGTGTCCGTGTGCATCAGGGGCTCTGAGGACAGGTGTCAATCCATATGTCAAGGTGTCAATATGTCATATGTCAGGTGTGAATCCATATTCATTGTGATTTAGGAATGTTAGGTGATTTCTGCCCTTTATGGATTAAAACCAGACTCTTCATCAACTGTGTAATTTTCCATGGGGAGTTTTGCCATGGATCCCCCTCCGGCATGCCACAGTCCAGGTGTTAGTCCCCTTGAAACAACTTTTCCATCACTATTGTGGCCAGAAAGAGTCCCTGTGTGTTTTAAAATTCGCCTGCCCATTGAAGTCAATGGCGTTTCGGGCGGTTCGCCGGTTCGCGAACATTTGCGGAAGTTCGCGTTCGCCGTTCGCGAACCGAAAATTTCGGGTTCGCGACATCACTAGTGCTCAGTGTGAACCTGCTTTCATCTGTGAAGAGCACAGGGTGCCAGTGGCGAATTTGCCAATCTTGGTGTTCTCTGGCAAATGCCAAACGTCCTGAATGGTGTTGGGCTGTAAGCACAACCCCCACCTGTGGACGTCGGGCCCTCATACCACCCTCATGGAGTCTGTTTCTTACCGTTTGAGCAGACACATGCACATTTGTGGCCTGCTGGAGGTCATTTTGCAGGGCTCTGGCAGTGCTCCTCCTGTTCCTCCTTGCACAAAGGTGGAGGTAGCAGTCCTGCTGCTGGGTTGTTTCCCTCCTACGGCCTCCTCCACATCTCTTGATGTACTGGTAGCGCCTTCATGCTCTGGACACTACGCTGACAGACACAGCAAACCTTCTTGCCACAGCTCACATTGATGTGCCAACCTGGATGAGCTGCACTACCTGAGCCACTTGTGTGGGTTGTAGACTCCGTCTCATGCTACCACTAGAGTGAAAGCACCGCTAGCTTTCAAAAGTGATCAAAACATCAGCCAGGAAGCATAAGAACTGAGAAGTGGTCTGTGGTCACCACCTGCAGAACCACTCCTTTATTGGGGGTGTCTTGCTAATTGCCTATAATTTCCACTTGTTGTCTATCCCATTTGTACAACAGCATGTGAAATTGATTGTCACTCGGTGTTGCTTCCTAAGGGGACAGTTTAATTTCACAAAAGTGTGATTGACTTGTTGTTACATTGTGTTGTTTAAGTGTTCCCTTTATTTTTGAGCAGTGTATATCATTCAAGTTTCACTTTTAGTTACACCAAGGGTGATATTCAAGATTCACATATCTTTTTTTAAAAAAAAAATCTTGTTTAATATTTATCTAATGTATCTTATACTCTATGAGGCATGGATTGTATCACGTTGTATTCATATTCACATGAAACACACTATTTAGTGGGTCACCTGATGGGGCTTAAGTAAAGTTTTGTTGTCCACATGTGGCTCATAAATCTATAGTTTGCACTGTTTAGTCTGGATCTTTGATCACAGGTATTACCTTTGTCTAGGGGGAGGGTACTTCACCTTTACAAGTTTCCCGCACTTTTGTGCTATTTAAAGATGGTGTTTGGAGCTATGGGGTTATCCTGATAAAAGTTCTATGACGCACTGAAACGTTGATTTGCTGTAACCCGTGTGTTATGAATAAGGACAAATAATGTTCTTCAAAAAGCCCAGCGTGTGCGTTTCTTCGTGGAGATTTATGTTGATTTGGCTGAAAGAGTGTCACCATGAGTGTTCTCACCATGACATCCAGACTGCCAGACGCGGTCGTTCCATAAGTTCCCAACAGGGGATTTGAACTGTGGTTCTTCTGTGCCATAATCGTGCAGTTTTGCCTCAGAGACACTCTCCAGTTCTTGCTTCAGCCCGATGTTTATTCCTGCTTTATCTCCAGCACTGGGCGCTGGACGTTACCTGTGGCTGTTCCTATCATCTCAGCCCACCTGAATCAAATGCGTAATTAGACAGGTATAAGACACTGCCTCTCCCTGAGGGCAGTGTCAGTTCATTGACTCTGGTCCTGCTGTCTGGCTCCTGTTTTTGTGTATCCAGATCGTTTGCTCCTGGCTCCTGACCTTGTCTTATTTGCATCATGTATCCTGACTTCTGGCATCCTCTGACCTTGGTTTTCTTACTGTGTAACCTGACTTCGGCTTACCCTTGACGATTCTACTGCTTGTGTCCTTACCTGTACTGCGACTTGGAGCAACATCCTGCACAGCCCCCGTGCCCAGACGCACAGGCCAGGTGAATTATTACCTGACCACCTTGGCCCGTGCTTAATTGCAAGGGTGAGCATAAATCTCTGCCTACCGGACTCCCAACTAAGGTAAGCTGTGACAAAGAGCACCATGGCACTTATACTACAAATGCAAGTGCAGGATCGTGGTGTGTGTGTGTGTGTGTGTGTGTGTGTGTGTGTGTGTGTGTGTGTGTGTGTGTGTATATATATATATATATATATATATATATATATATATATAGACATATACATACATACATACACACACACACACACACACACACACACACACACACACACACAGTATCTCACAAAAGTGAGTACACCCCTCACATTTTTGTAAATATTTTATTATATCTTTTCATGTGACAACACTGAACCAAATGACACTCTGCTACAATGTAAAGTAGTAAGTGTACAGCCGTATAACTGTAAATTTGCTGTCCTCTCAAAATAACTCAACACACCGCCATTATTGTCTAAACCATTGGCAACAAAAGTGAGTACACCCCTAAGTGGAAATGTCCAAACTGGCCCCAAAGTGTCAATATTTTGTGTGGCCACCATTATTTTCCAGCACTGCCTTAAGCCTTATGGGCAAGGAGTTCACCAGAGCTTCACAGGTTCCCACTGGAGTCCTCTTCCACTCCTCCATGACGACATCACAGAGCTGATAGATGTTAGAGACCTTGCGCTCCCCCACCTTCTGTTTGAGGATGCCCAACATATTCTCAATAGGGTTTAGATCTGGAGACATCCTTGGCCAGTCCAGCACCTTTACCTTCAGCTTCTTTAGCAAGGCAGTGGTCATCTTGGATGTGAGTTTGGGGTCGTTATCATGTTGGAATACTAACCTGCAGCCCAGTCTCTGAAGGGAGGGGATCATGCTCTGCTTTAGTATGTCACAGTACATGTTGGAATTCATGGTTCCTTCAAAAAACTGTACCTCCCTAGTGCCGGCAGCACTAATGCAGGCCCAGACCATGATACTGCCACCACCATGCTTGACTGTAGGCAAGACACAGTTGTCTTTGTACTTCTCACCTGGTTTCCGCCACACATGCTTGACACCATCTGAACCAAATAAGTTTATCTTGGTCTCATCCGACCACAGGACATGGTTCCAGTAATCCATGTCCTTAGTCTGCTTGTCTTCAGCAAACTGTTTGTGGGCTATCTTGTGCATCATCTTTAAAGAGGCTTCCTTCTGGGACGACAGCCATGCAGACCAATTTGATGCAGTGTGCGGCGTATGGTCTGAGCACTGACAGGCTGACCCCTCACACCTTCAATCTCTGCAGCAATGCTGGCAGCACTCATATGTCTATTTCCCAAAGACAACCTTTGGATATGATGCTGAGCATGTGCACTCAACTTCTTTGGTCGACCATGGCGAGACATGTCCTGTGGAACTGCTGTATGGTCTTGCCCACTGTACTGCAACTCAGTTTCAGGGTCTTGACAATCTTCTTATAGCCTACATCTTTATGTAGAGCAACAATTCTTTTTTTAAGATCCTCTGAGTTCTTTGCCATGAGGTGCCATGTTGAACTTCCAGTGACAAGTATGATAGAGTGAGAGCAAAAACACAAAATTTAACACACCTGCTCCCTATTCACACCTGAAACATTGCAACACTAACTGGTCACATGACACCGGGGAGGGAAAATGGATAATTGGGCCCAATTTGGACATTTCAACTTAGGGGTGTAGTCCCGTTTGTTGCCAGTGATGTAGACCAGTGGTTCCCAACCCAGTCCTCAAGTACCCCCTACCAGTCCAGGATTTAGGGATTACCCTAGAAAATAAAAACACTTTAGACACAACAGGGT